AAAATAGACTTAGTATACAGCTCTTATAGACAGCTGTCAGCTATGGTATTCTTAGGGCAGGGGAAGGCAACCTTGGCACTACAGTTGTAGTGAAACTACAAATCCCATCATGCCACTGAGTCTGGGGACATGCCTGTGGCTATCTCTGTCTTTCCTAATGAGGTTTGCAGTTTCACCACATCTGGAGTGTCAAGGTTGTCTGCCTCTGTTTTAGGGGTTCCTAGACTAACCAAAAATAATAAGTAAAAGGGTGAGTACCAGTGCTTTGTATCACACCCAGTGGTAAACCTCTACTGGACGTGATACAAACCTGTGGTGGTCTCAACCTGTCTGCAGCACCATATTTACTATTAGGCACAGTAGGCTTGTGCCTAAAGGTAGGAAAGGAAAAGAGGTTGTGTTTCTCCACAGAGTTATCAGCCCTTTTTAGAGGGCTGTCCCTTTGTGCACCAATAGTTTAGTTCCTGCTTGCTCCACTGATAAAAACACAGCCCTGTGTATACATCTATGGCTAGTCTTGCTGAATGAGTTAGTAGATCAAATTTTGGGTAATCCTGGCACACAGAAGAGGGACAGTTCAGGCAAAGAGAGTCTGGGCACAGCAGAGGGCAGTTCAGGCAGGCAAGGGGGGCACACAGCAGAGGGCAGTTGAGGCAAAGAGAGTCCTGGCACAGCAGAGGGCAGTTCAGGGCAAGGGGTAATCTGGGCACACAGCAGAGGGCTTGCAGGGACACTCAGCGGCAGTCCGGCTTGCAGGGACACTCATCAGCAGGCAGGCTTACAGGGACACTGAGCAGCAGGCAGGCTGGCAGGGTCGCTCAACCGCAGGCAGGCTTGCAGGGGCACTCAGCAGCAGGCAGGCTGGCAGGCGAAGATAATCCGGGTACAGCAGAGGGGCAGTTCAGACGGGCAATGGGTAAGTCCAGGCACACAGCAGAAGGCACACAGCAGAGGGTAGCTCTGGCAGGCAGGGTAATCAGGCCACACAGCAGAAGGCAGCTCTGGCAGGCAGGATAATCAGGGCACACAGCAGAAGGTAGCTCTGGCAGGCAGGAGGTCCGAGCACTCAGCAGAGGGCAGTTCACAGGGTAGCGATCCAGGGACTCACCAGCCAGCAGTTGCCTCAGCAGAGGAAGTCTAGGCAGATAGACACCAACTCCTCACGGGTCTTCAGAGGGCTATGTGTCTTTGGCTTCAGCTTCGAGACTACACAGGCAATATAGGACCACAGGTCCCAGCATTGCACAAAGCAAAGCACAGTTCAATGCATCTCCTAGTTAGGGCTCAGCCAGGAGTGGCTCTGTACATCCTAACTCAAGCTCTCCGATTCATAAAGAGACAGTATGGCCCTTTCAATTGACCAAGCCCCAAACTCCTGGTGCTGGACATGTCTGGCCTTTCGCAGCCACAAAAACACCATGCTGTCTGCGCTCCCTGCGGAGATCAATCTCATCTCCCACCCCTTGCGGGGCACAAAAACTTCAAATTATAAACAAAGCAGACAAGCTGACTGTTGGCCACAAAACAACGCAGAAATAAAAGAATATTTCTGCTGTCTGTCACATAAAGCCTGAAGGTTTTTTACCTTTATGCATTTTATGCATGAAGTTAAAAAACCCTCAGCATACAGCTCCCCGTTAGCCCCCTCCCCCCTTTCTTTATACATACCTGAGCCCGATACCAATCCAGTGATGTGCACAAGAGCAGAAGCTCTCCCAGGTCTTTACCCCGCATTTGGCTGAGAAACAGCAATTCAGGTCATCGGCTCCTGCTGCTGTCAATCAAAGCCAGTGAGTAGGAAGTGGGCGGCAGGGCTGAGCCACATTCTGTGTGTCTTATAGACACACAGAGGTGTCCCCAGGAGCAAGCATGTACGAGTGCCCCTAGAGCAAGCAGCTTGCTATAGGGGCACTCAACAGATGGGAGGGACCTGGAGCACCCGCAGAGGACCCAGATTGTTTGCAAAAAAATATTGTTATTAAAGAAAAAAAACAGGAACCTTTACAATCGCTAATGTTACTCTATGCACTACATGCACTACACTACTTACATGCACTAGATTCTGATTTGGGGTCATTTTCATGTTATATTCACCAGTTGTGATGTTAAACAGTTTTCTGCATTTTCTAGGGCAGGGAAATGTAACAGATATAAAAAAAAGTTTACTGTTTTCAATAGAAAACATGGATGCTGGCATATTGTATTGAGATGCACTGTAGAAACATACTGTTTGTTGCATTTTGGTGTTTTGATCTGCAGACATTGAAACTGGATCTATCACAATTTGTGTAAAAGTGCAATAAAATCACTTCCAGACAAGTATATATTTACATTAAGTAACCTAATTTGAAGATGACTGATACTACAATATTTTTTGCACTCAGGCAGCAGAGAGAGACCATCACTGGCTCTTGGCAAAGCCATTTTTGGTGATAACATTATGGAGAGGTACCAGTCTTATATAATGAGCTGAAATGCCCACAGAAAAAAATGATGATACTGACCCAGCACATAAAACTGGGGATAGTGTGAAATCACACTCTGGCTTCGGTATGTAAGTGGCTAACGGCTTCTTACATGTTCACTATAGATTACATTTAAAGAGATTCTATCCCCATATTGTTCTCCCTTTTTAACACATTTATACATTGTAGTGAAGAGCAAGTAGAGTACCTCCACTGAGGTGTTGTCACTAAATGTTGACTCCTTCCCAAGCTCAAAAAATGTATTCCATTTGCTGCTGGGTGCCACTATCTTGCCACTGATGTATAATCCAATGCGAGCACCAAACCAACATCCAAGAGCCCAAAGTAATTTAATGATAAAACTGAGTCATAGCAGAAGAAATCCAATGTGTTTCAGAGCCCAGACACACTTCCCCTTCATCAGGGCATTCCCTCACACCCTCCTGAAACTGTTCCAAGCAGTAAACCACAGTGCTGTTTTATTTGGTATCTTCTCACCTGAGTCCATTTAAATGCAGTGAAACGTAAGCACTGTTGAAGGGGAGTGTGTTTGGCCTCTGAAATGCATTGCATTTATTCTGCTTTGAAACAATTTTATCATTAAATTACCTTGGACTCTTGGACATATGTTTGGCACTTGAATTTTATGTACGTGGACTCCCACCTCTGCGTCCTTTCCCTGTTCATGAGGTGGTCCCCATTTTGTGGAGTGCTGCTGAACCAGAACCAATGGCCCAGTGACAATTTAAGGTATATTTGGAAAATCTGAATCCAGCACTCTGTTTGTGTTTGATCATGTCTCTGATATCAGCAGTTATGGCTGTCTGCCATGCACCTCATCTAGTTTATTCATTCTAACATCCCTATAGATTGTGTCCCTATAATTTATTGCCATACATTATTATTTAGTGACTTTTACTAAATCTTGCCTTGGATGCCCTGGATGTGCTCTCACACACTGACAGCGCAAAGCTGTACTAGGGATAGAGAGGTATAAATAGTGGTGCAGAGAGAAGGGATGTGAAAGAAGACAGCTAGGGCAATCTGACACTCTTGGAAGTGTCCATTTCAGGTTGTGTGGAATGTTGGCTTCAGCAGAGGAAATACACATTATTTTGGAGCATAGTTAGTAAGTACAATTTTTACCTTCTTCCTGATCTACTCAGCTGATTGTCTCATAGATGTTGGCAGGGTCTCTTTAAGCAACCAAATAAACTATTATTTAAAAACTGTAACTTATAACACTAGGTGGAGATTAAAGATGCTTGGAATTACCAGATAATTGTCTGCCTATATATTTGTAATGATATTTTGCTGAATGATAAAGCTGAATTCTTTCCTGGTGATTGTTAAGCTTGACTCACGATAACCCAACATTATAGCGCTAATGAGCTTCTGAATTTTTACACATTTGCCTAAAAATGACAGGGCAAAGGGCAGCTCCAATCAAACAACGTACATACTCTAGTTATCATTAGAGGAGAGACAGACTGAAATAAGGAGGTTGGTCATTTTCAGAGCTTCCAATTCTGCTTTTTGGATTATATGCAGTTATTTCTGTGGCCATAGAGCTCCATACAGACACTGAGATGTGTTTTAGAAATGTGTTTAGCACTTTCAGGTTTAATAATAGAGAACAAAAAGGTAGCTTGGCCAAATAACCTGCCAAAGTCATGTGACCAGAATTTCCACCAATAACAGAGAATCCTCTGCAGCATTATGCAGAGAAGTCTTTCGGACGCTGCAGGCTTTACTCCATAGCTTGTATCTTATTATTGAAAAGTAAAGTAGTGGGATGTAAACACTGAGTGTCTAATGGAAAACAGATAGTGGTATCCACTCTCCACTACAAATAGGCCTCTAACCCTCATATAAAACAAATCATCTTAACCACTAGCCTACAGGGCACTTATACCCCCTTCCTGCCCAGGCCAATTTCCAGCTTTCAGCGCTGTTGCACTTTGAATGACAATTGCGCGGTCATGCAACACTGTACCCATATGAAATTTTTATCATTTTTTTTGTGACAGATAGAGCTTTATTTTGGTGGTATTTAATCACCTCTGTTTTTTTTTTATTTTTTCTTAAACAAACCAAAAACCACTGAAAATTTTGTAAAAAAAAAAATTTTTTTCTTAGTTTTTGTTATAAAAGTTTGTAAATAAGTGATTTTTCTCCTTCACTTTTGTGCGCTAATGAGGCTGTACTGATTGACACTGATAGGTGGCACTGATGGGCACTGATGAAGAGGCACTGGTAGGTGGCACTGATGGGCATTGACAGGCATCACTGATGGGCACTGAAAGGCAGCACTCATATATGGCACTGATAGGCAGCACTGATAGGTGGCACTGATAGGCAGCACTGACTGGCACTGATAGGCGGCACTGACTGGCACTGTTAGGTGGCACTGATAGGCAGCACTGATGGGCACTGATAGGTGGCACTGATGCACACTGATAGGCGGCACTGACTGGCACTGATTGGCAGCACTGATAGGTGGCACTGACTGGCATTGGTAGGTGGCACTGACTGGCACTGATGGGTGACACTGAAAGGCAGCTCAGATGGGCACTGATATGTGGCATTGATGTGCACTGGTAGGCACTGAAATGTGGCATTGATGTGGCACTGATGGGCACTGGCAGGTGGCACTGATGAGCACTGACAGCTGGCACTGATGGACACTGACAGGTGGCACTGCTGGGGCTACACAGATCATCAGGGCACACTGATCATCAGTGCCCTGATGATCAGTGTACATGTCCCCTCTGAGGGATGCCGATTACCGTCTCTCCTCTCGAGCTGTCAGCATGACAATTTGGCCAGCATCCACTTAACTCAAAAGCATGTCTTTGGAGTGTAGGAAAATCCCAGAGTAAACCCACACAAGCACAAGGAGAACAGGTAACCCCCATGCAGATAGTGTCCTGACCAGGATTTAAACCGGGGAGAAAGGCTAACCACTAAGCCACTGTTCTGCTTTCTTTTAAAGATACTGTAATTGAGATAAGTGTGAATGAAACTCAGTAGACAGACACAAATTACATGCACAAAATACATTTCAGACCAATGAATCTAAATATTTAGAGGTAAAAGAACACAGTGACTGAATAATTGCAGGTAGGCTCAACATGGCAATTTACTGCAGCCTCACATATGGGAGGCAGATCAGTGCCGGCCTCAGTGTGCCTGGACAAATGACAGCAGCAGCTTATTTCTGTGGGTCTGACCCATCTTGGCTTTGGGTGCTCTTGATACAACAGGAGCTGAACCTGCTAATTAGTTTGGCATCCGTTCAGACATTTGGAATGTAGGTAGTGATAAAGCAGAGCAGAAGGTAGCTCTTGGCATGTGTGGCTTTGCACTCATTATGCTTACTGATGTATTCTAGTATTCAGACATTCTAAATAGTAAGGCTGCTACGGAAAATTAATTTCCATGTTATTTTCAGTGTAGTATCACAGAGACCATAGAAATGCAGCCATAACCAGCATTAAAGGAAAGGTCAGTGAAATCAACATGTAAATAGAATTAGTTAATTGGAGATGCCTGTAGATATTTCTTTTTAGAGAGATTAGGGTTAATGACCATGATTCGATTTGAATAATGCAATATCCCAGTATGCAGCACTATTATGTTTATATAAAGCTGAATTCCAGGCAAAGAGCTAAATATACCACTAAAATATATATGGGAAGCAGTTTTACCTGTCAGGATTTATTTCTCTCCAGCACTAACAGAACAGCCAGCCTTTTCTCCACAGCAACACAGCTAGGTCACCAATATGCTCCTAGGCTGTGATTGGACAGTTAAGGAGCAGCAGCAGATAATGATGTCATCTCTCTGCTCTTCCCTTTTCAAGATGTTCTTATAAGCACAATCCCTTCCCTTTTCTAATGCTGCGGTACAGAGCATTAAAAACACAAAAATATAGAAGAGTGATGGAAGAAAAAAAGACCAAGTGGTCTATTGAGTCTGCCCCATTGTTTTAACTATTTTGGCTGAGTATAGATCTATGTTTTCCTCAAGCATATTTGAATTCACTTACTGTTGCCTGACCCACTGCCTCTGCTGGAACTCCATTCAAAGCATCAAACGCTATTTGTGGTAAAATAATACTTTCTAAGTTTCATTTTGAACTGTCCTCATGCTAATTTGGGGTCATGTTGCTGTGTTCTTGATCTTAGCTTCATATTGGTAAAATTACTCTCCTGAACCTTATTCACAGCCTTAATGTATTTAAAGTTTTCAATTATGTCTCCCCCTTCTCTTCTTTCCTCAAGACTGTACAGATACTTATATGCAGTATATGTACATATCCTGATATTATTTCTAGTATTATACAGAATTTATATATCGCCAACATTTTACATAGTGCTTTACAACATGAGGGCAGACAGTACAGTTAGAATACAATTCAATACAGGAGGACTCAGAGGGCCCTGATCCTTAGAGCTAACAATCTAAAAGGGAGGGTCAAGTGATACAAAAGGTAATAGCTGTGGGGGGTGAGCTTATGGAGAAAGTGAAAGTACAGTTGTTAGGTGGGAGCTGGATAGGCTTCTCTGAACAGAAGGGTTTTCAGGGATCACCTAAAAGCAGACGAGTAGGAGTAGGAGAAGTAGGAGATAGTTGGACAGAATGAGGTAGGGTGTTCCATACGATGGGAGAGGCTCGAGAGAAGTATTTGAGGCGAGCATGGGAGGAGGTGACAAGGGAGCTAGAGAGCAGGAGGTGTTGGAAGGATTGAAGAGAATGAATTGGTTGATATTTTGAGACAAGATTTGTGATGTACTGTAGCTGATATGTTTTCTCCTCCAGACCCTTCGCAATTGTCATTGCTCATCTCTAGTTCTGTTCTTCTAACTAGTTCTATTGTATCAATATCCAGAACTGGACACACTATTCAAGACAGGGTCTAACTAAAGATCTATATACAATAATCAGGGCCTCTTTCCTCCGGCTGGTGATCCCTCTAGTGATGCATCCTAGAATTCTATTAGTTTTTCCAACTGCCTGGACACACAGCTCATTTTGCAATCATCTGTAATAAGTACCCCCAAATCCATTTCCTCTGTAGTACTGGTCAACATGGTAACCCCATATTGTACTGTATTAGGGTTTTTTTTTTTCATTTTAAAACATTGAACCGCAGCTTCTACTGATTTTACCAATCTTCCAGCAATGCTAGGTTCCATGTTACAGACACATCCAGGAATATGTACCCTATTGCCCACCTTTGTGTCATCAGCAAACGACATACCCTACCAACAACTCTGTACTGTAGTTATATCACTTACATATAGATTAAATAAAAAAGGACCTAGTACAGAGCCTTGTGGTACACCACTAGTGAATGACCCCTATTCCCAATAAAACTCCATTTACTATCACACTCTGATATCCAGCCTTTAGCCAACTGTATATGCACTGAATCACCTAAGGGTTAAGTCCTAGCAAGTACAACTCTTTATAAAATCTTTCAATGTAGATACTTGCTGAAGTGACAACTGTCTACGAGAACGTGAGCGAAAATTTCCCTAGTGGTTAATTGGCTCCTGTCTAAAAATGTACCATAGTATGTGCATATATGCATGTTAGGTAGAGATTTTAGCTCCTTGAGGGCAGGGGCTGTTGTAAATTTACAATATGTAAAGTGATGTGTAAATTGCTGACACTATAAAAAACACCTGTAAATATAAATAGTTTATAGTGTGAGAGTGCTATCTTAGAGCCAGTGGGGCCCGTGGCAGGTGCGGGGGGTGCAGTCCGCACCGGGTGACACCGACCACACGGGGAGACTCCAGACCCGCTCCACAAAATCCGATCTTACCTTTTCTTGGAGCGGGTCCGGTGTCACCCGTATAGGTTGCATGCCGACGATCCTGCGGGGATCGTCGGCATGCAAACTATACGGGGTGACACCGGACCTGCTCCAAGAAAAGGTAAGTTGTAAAGAAAGCTGAAGATCCCCGCAGGATGGATCGGATCTGCGGATTGAGCATAATGGATCGGAGTCCGATCCATCATGCTCAATCCACAGATCCGATCCTTTCTGCGGGGATCATCGGAGGGGGTGTCACCAAGTGTAACCGCACCGGGTGACACCAACCCTAGGGACGCCTTTGCTGAGTCTGCTCAGAGCTATAAGTCTCTATAATCTCTGCATCTAGTAGGGGACATGTTTGTCAATTCACTCTGTGGCTAAAGAAAACGGATTTTAAGATTTTTCACACTTTTAGTTTTGATGCATCTGGAATGTATTTTGCTGATATCAGCTGAAAGTTCAGTTGGGCTTTAACACTAAATATGTATTATATTTATATAGTTGAAAATAAAGTAAGTATATGTTCAAGTAAACATGCATCTGGGACAAGGGGGAGATGGGTTTTTTTGTTTGTTTGTTTAACCACTTAACCTCCGGAAGTTTTTACCCCTTTCATGATCGGCATTTTTTGCTATTCAGCTCTGTGCTACTATAACTGGCAATTGCTCAGTCATGCAGCACTGCACTTAAATTAAATGTTTATTATTTTTTCACAAAAATAAAGCTTTCTTTTGGTGGTATTTATTCAGCACTGGGTTTTTATTTTTTTGATACAGTATATACATTAAAAAAATACCAAAAATGTAAAAGCAAATGCTTTTCTTAGTGTCTGTTATATAATTTTGCAAACAAATAATCTTTCTTCATAAATTTAGGCCAAAACTTAGTCTGCTACATTTCTTTGGTAAAAATAACCCAATCACAGCATCACAACAGTAAGCAAGCTGTCGTGAATGGAAAGCCATTCATGACAGTTTGTTTACATAATGCCATGTGATTGCTATAATTGGTCATAACAATCACCACTCCCAGTGACCGGGTACTAAGCACCGTGATCCGCTGTATGTCACCTAGCCTGGCTGTGCCACCCACCCACAGTAAAAGTATTGTGGATAGGAGGTTAGTGTTTACATGATTCATTAGATATAGTGCTTTCTTATTGCACAGGTATAGTTTTAGTTGCCAGTTTCAAGATATCCCCAATCACAGATATATAAGATTTTAAGCATTAGAACTTATATCCGTATTAAACCCAAATGCAAACATTTATTATATTGCAGTTTACTCATTCTTAGATGTGATGGCTGCATTGATTTTCTTTTCAGGCTTTCTTTCCTTTGTTTTCACTTGGTGATCCAGCCAGTAAGTGTGCTGTTTTTCAACAGACCAAATGTAGCAGTTTAGGGTGTTGAGGCAAACTACTTAACATCGACAAGACGCTTACAATGATCTGCTTTTATTTATTCATATAAAAGATTTATCCCAATAGAAAAAAAACTTTTGCAGTAACTACAGTTCTTGTGTAACCACAGCGTTAGACTGAGCTTCGCTTCATTTTGTTAGTGTATCTAGATCTGCTAGTCCATCTAACACTCTCCTCCCTGCTAAACTGACAATGCTGCTGTCCAAAGGTGCCCCCTATACTCCTTCATCCAGAGTTGGGACACTCTAATACAGGCAGTGTGTTACTGGACAGAAAACAAATGCAGCCACCACTTCTAACGTATAGTAAGCTGCAACATATTATATTTTTGGTTTTGGCTTTGATACAACTTTAATAAGGGTGAGAGTTTGCTCTGCAAAGTGATCATTCTCTGCTCCTTTTATTGTCTTTTATTGTATCTATCTATCTATCTATCTATCTATCTATCTATTTATCTATCTATCTATCTATCTATCTTTCTATCTATCTATGTTTGTGTAGATAGATAGATAGATCTAGATAGATAGATAGATAGATAGATAGATAGATAGATAGATAGATAGACAGACAGACAGACA